CCAAATATAGAACGGCATTTTAATTCTTCATGAATTGGTTGATGTCATTCAAGCCAATCACTTCTCTGCCTATCTCTTAGTGAAGTCAGTCACTTTCATAGAGCCCATATGAAGCTGTAATTATTGTGTTGCAAAACAGGTTCTTCAACCAATACAAAGGCAGTTCTAACCAGGCAAATGTATGTGCTAATGTTATTATATCTCAAATATCACAACACTTCTTTTTTTTTGTTTTTCGTCCTTGTTTTTAAGTATGAATGTGCATCACCCAGTCTTTTACTCATCAAATATTTAAAGGCATTTGCTCTCTCGAAGAATTACAGCCATTGCGGGCTTCATGAATATAAATTAAACTTTGAATTCATCTTGAGAATTTTCTCAAATAGAGTTAATTCCACAAGGATCCTTTACCCTGTTATCCTCTTATTTTATTACTCTGTTCTTTCACCAACCTCCCTCTCGCCCTTCATCCATCTCTTAATAATTAAAGAAAATGCCCTCGATTCCTAGACTTATCACACGGCTATATGACAACTGGGTCTGGACAAGTGTCGGGGGACACCTATCACCTCGAGCTGTTGCAGTGTCAGGAGAACACTTATGTTACTGATGCCCCACACCCTGTAGTTTGTTCTGCTGCCGTTCCACTGCATGGTAAGGCTCTACTCGACCAACCTTTTTTTGGTTTACCATTCGGAAAAGATGTGGGTAGTATATGCCCTGTTTTTAGTTTTTGGCTCTCAGCAAGCTTGGCCAATATTAAATGGTGACATTAAAACAGAAAATTGTCACTAGTGCTTCCATGGAAATCATGCGCATGCCCAGCGGTTTTAAATGAAAAACAACCATTAACAGTGAGCATTTTTCTCTCGCCAGTCGCTCCTTCTCTTTAGCTGTTTTTATTTATTTGTGTTTCCTTTTTCTTTTCTATACTGGGGAAAGTGTTGCCAATTTCAATCCAAAGCCTTGTGCTTTCCACATTTATATAACAAATAATATTTTCTGAATGTATTCCATGTTGTTCTGTGACGGAGGAAAGTTAATTTTGTTTTTGTCAACAGCTCACTTAAATTGACCGGACTTCTTCCTGCAGATTGATATGAGTGAACATGCAGCCCCACTTGAACAGAGGGTCCTTAGCAATAGTCTGCTATCCTAAGAAGTAATTTGCTTTCAAAAAAGAACATACCGCTCAATGTCTGAAATTACTTAATAATAATTCTGTGTTCGTTTTTTGGTTGAAAAGTTTCAGTCTTTCTTTTGTGTTTTTGTGCGATTTAAACTGGGTCCCACGTGGTACCAAAGGTAAGTTGAGTTGAGTCCAGTTGAGTTGAGTATAGCCGCACCATGGTGAACATGGGCTTTCCTGACCAGGACGTCTGAACGACCTGCCTCAGAAACCTCTCTATTACCAACAGGGCCTCAGGAAAGGATAACTTCTGTAAATACTTGACTTGGACTTAACCTCGTAGAGTTTAGAACAAGTTCATTCCCACAGACAGAAACTCAACTTTTTTTCTAAACAGTTTTCAGGGCTTGAAAAAAAAGTGTAAGCCCCACCTGACTCTGTAGATCCCCTCTAAAGAACATTCTAGCTTATTTAAGCTCATTATTTTAGTTCTACACACCACAACTATACTGATTTGGTCTCAAAGCCTTAAATGGCTGTTTTTAGCCAAAACAACTTGAATGTATTTCAGCTTCTTGTTTCTGTTCATCCTGCAATGTTACAATTTACACAAATGTGTATTACACATTAGGCTGCCAGAAACACAACTTGAAAATGAATTGATGAAATGTAGAAAACATATATTTACATGTATTTTTAAAAATATCTATATGCCGCTTTTTTGTTAAACCAACTACTAAACTCTAAACTAATAGCTAGTGAAGAAGCCACGTGTTCTCACCTCATCCAGGTGGACCAGGAAGGTGATGTTGCTTCCCAGGTTGGCGGTGAGTTTTCCGTCTCTGCTGGTTACCAAGAGTCCTTTGGGAGGTCTGTTGGGGCACTGCTGCTTCCTGGCCGTGTACATCTCTTTAACTCCTTTGGTGCAGTTGTTCAACACCACTTTACGGTACCTTAGAAGAGATGTTTTTAAAAAAGGAAATTCCGAAAGGTTGCTTAAAAATGACTGCCTTTAGTACTTTTATAGTTTAATCTAAGGGTGTCTTTGGTTTTAAAATGAATACCAAATGTAACATAAGCTTGTGATTTAGAGATGATGTTGAACTAAACAGAGTGGTGTGTGAGTACAGCTGTTGCCTCTTCTGATTGCAAACACAATAGCCACTTTCACACCAAGTACTTTGGTGTACTTAGTTCCCAGCACTTAGTTCCCCCACGGAACTAAAGAGCAGATCGCGTTCACACCGGAATAAGTCCCTGAGGGAAGATTACGCAAATGACGCTGCTGACGTCACTTTTTCTTTTTCTGCTTTGGGTTTACTGGCAGGCCGCAAACAACTTTGCGGCGTATAGAGAGGCGAAGTACCTTACTTTCTGGGGGACCTCCATGGAACCATATTTTGGAAAAAGTATGTATTGAAGTCAATGGCGAGAGAAAGATTATCTTTCGATCCCGTTTGAATTGTGCCACGAACTACACATATGATGTTTGTCAATTTAAAAGATAATGTTGCAAGTCCAAAACATTAAAATGTGTCATGAAGTAACAATTTTTTTTGTGTGAAACCGCTCAATGAACTACATCTCCCGTCTCGCACCACACACCAAGACGGCCGTCACATTTCACTTCTTTCTTTCAGAATGAGGCGAAAAGTATTAAACGAGGTGAAAATCACTCCAAGTCTGGGCATGTTGAGAGCTGTACATACACAAAAGGGGAGTTAGTCGGTTCCGTAAGAGCCAGCATGCGGGACCGGGATTCGGAGATTTGTAGTCTTTCTAGTTGCGTATTTTTCATAGTCTTAGATTTCAACAGTTTTATGACAAACTGTGACTTCTTTGGCATGAAAATTATTTTTTAAGATTAACAAACTTGTGTAATTCGTGGCACAATTCAAACGGGATCGAAAAATACGTTTTCTCTCTCCATTGACTTCAATACATACTTTTTCCGAAATAAGGTCCCATGGAGGTCCCCGGAAGGGGAGGGACTGCGCCCCTCGATACTGCCACCCGAAGTCCCCTGCCGGAAGTCCCCGGAGTTGGACTGGCTTCCCAGCTGCTTCTACTGAAGCCTTCCAAGTAAATCGCCAGAACACCGACACCTCCTCATCACTCCACCGCTCCCATGTTTTTTTTTGTGTTGATATAAATTAGTCTCTCTCCGTTGGTGCACTGGGCTAATGCTAATGCTAATAATGCTAATGCCAGCAAATACAATGGTGGCTTCACAACACTTTTCAGAGTTTTACGGGTCGTGGTTTGCAATTTGCCCACCCAATCAGAAATTGGCATTGTTTTTCCCCCAGGAAAGTACCTGCTCTCTAGCAGGGAATGAAAAGGGGGGAAAAGTTCTCATGAACTAAGTTCTCTTTTTGGTGTGAACGCAAAATCCCAGGAACTATCGGAACTAAAAGGGAAAAGTACGGGGAAAAATACTCCGGTGTGAAAGCGCCATATAGATTTCAACAACACAAGCTGTTTCAAAGGCTGAGACGCCATGTCATACTTAACTAGCACTAGTAAATAAAACACTCACACTGTGATTAGGCTTTGCATACCAACACCATGTTGAAAACACTGGATTATGTAATAACTACCGTAATTTTTGGACTATAAACCGTGCCTTTTTTCCCATTTTTCGACGCTGCGGCTTATATAACGGTGCGGCTAATCTATGGATTTTTACAGCTAA